TGTCAAACATGTCGGCGGACTCTGGGTCGAGGGTCCAGTAATTGCCTTTGCCCGGGTTACCGGGTTCGCGGGGTATTTTGACAAAGCAGTCATTTAGAGACAGGTTGTGACGGATAGAGTTTTGCCACGCGGGGAATTTCTCCCGGTAATACGGGAACCTGCTGCTGATGAACTCACAGATCTCGCTGAGAGTCAAACGTTTCTTCGGGCTCTGCAGGATAGCCATGGTTATAAGGGCTATGTAAGAATAAGGGGGTTTCACCAACGCATTTTTCCCTGGTTTATCCCCAGTTAACGCACCGGTTCTGCTGTCATCCTGTGGCCCGACCCGGTCAGCCGGACAGTCCAAGCTGCTTTGGCCCGGTGAGACTGCGCCCTCCCCCGCATTCTGGGATAGATTGTCATCGGAGTCATTGTCCAAGTGAAAACTATGATGATGGTGAAGATATTTACCCTCTTTTACAATATCCCCGCCAACGACATCGATGTCCACGTCGTCGGACAGAGCAGAACTGTCCGACATGTCCGTCCCCAGAGTCATCCTTGGAGAGTCTTTTTGTCTTCCTCTCTCGCGTTCCGTGTCCAGTCTCGTGCAGCACTCAGCACAAGCAGTGTGTCGTCTCAGTCACTTTCTGGAACGACAAAACTCCCGTCCTCCAGAAGCCAAGAATACGTTGTCTTCACGTCCTGGAGCCGCATAGAAAAGAAACGTGCCTTAAGAAACGAAAGAAGACTCGAAAGAATCACACCGGACTTGCATACCACAAAAACTGTCCAGAGCTCAGAGCGCTTTCAAGTCGAACAGGACACTCGGTTCAGACCTCGATTTTCTCTTCATGGAGTGTGTAGTTGGTCCATATACAATACAAACTTTTGGATCATACGAATAGCATTTTGACTATGCATTCACTAACTAGCTTTTCTTTTTTCATAATTCGAGAAGGCTATTTTGTTCTCGTGTACAATCGTAGCGCTGTGCGTGAAAGAGCCTCCAAGTAGCCTATACCCCCGCGCGGCTTCCAAAAACTATTTATCCAGTCCCCACAATCACGTGATCAGCATGTCGGTAACCAGGAACTAGGGAAGTTTACAGACGAAAAAAAAGCAGCACAAGGGAGAAGTGTTATCAACTTGCCCTAACAAGTGTGCTATATGGGAAAATTTAACTGACATTCGCGACAAATGTCAAAAAGAATGCAGAGAAAATAAAACATTTAGCACGATTTAACTTTAATAAAGCCGAGGATTTTTTAAAGATGACAACAAATAAACTGTCAACACATTAATTTAATAGCCTACAAAAAAAAGAATACAAATATTTCCATTGCTTACTGAGTTTTTTTCTATTGTTGTTTAAAAAAACAGCATCATAACAATAAGACAAAATTATTAAATTAACCGTTAGCCTATTTTTGCATTGCATTTTATTGTTATTATGTTGTATTAAGCTAGCAACATCGATAATATAGCAATAATCGATGATATGGTAAATATACAAGATAAAGAAAGAAAGAAAGAAAGAAAGAAAGAAAGAAAGAAAGAAAGAAAGAAAGAAAGAAAGAAAGAAAGAAAGAAAGAAAGAAAGAAAGAAAGAAAGAAAGAAAAGCAATATTCTTTGCATTAAATCACCAGATGGATGTTTATTCCTTTGCCTGTTCAAAAGATAGCCTACAATCAAAGTAGAATAGTATTCGATCGAATCCTTCAAAAATATTTAACAAATCAAATGTTCCAATATATTGTCAGCGAATACATTTTAAAGGCAACAGTATAGCTAATTATTCACAAATTTGGCAACAGCAAGAATATAAGGGACAGATTATTTTATTATTTTAATATTTTTTGAGACTTAGTCAAAGTTAATCCTCAATTTAGTATTTCCTACAGACCATATTCAATTGCACATTTAAATATTTCACGACATTTTAACGTTTATATTATTCATTTGCATGAATTAGCCTATTTCCAATACAGAACAGCACAAATCAATAAGTTGTTCTATCCTCGGCAGGTGTAAGTGCTAATTTAATGATTTATTTTAATGATTTATTTGGCATGAAAAATATCTTAAACTGTATATTAATATTATAACATTTGCTCACAAAAAGAGGGTGAAAGGAAATTTGCGCTTATACAAAAATCTTTTTTTGTTCTCTTTTTAGTGCCGTTATTCACTTTTTTTTCCTGTCAGGGATTCAAAACAACCCCGTTTATGATTTTTTTGCATTGCTATCAAAGCTATACATCTCCTAACGTAGCCTATGTAAAAGCACACACTCTCTGCAACCTGCTCGGATTCGTCTTTGCATGGGTGTTATGGGTGAATGACAAGCTTCATGCGCCATACAGAACGCGCGCGCACTCTTAAAAATAAAGGTTTTGCAGCGACGCCATACAAGAACCTTCAGTCAACAGTTCTTAAAATAACCTTTTTTTCTTAGTATGAACATCATTTTTAAAAATCTAAAGAACATTTTTCCACTATAAAGAACTTAGTGCACCAAATCCCGTGGATGCTATGTTCTTTATGAACCATCAATGCCAATAAAAATAACCTTTATTAGAGTCGGGCATCGAATTCTTTTTATTATGCTCATTATTCATACAAACAAGACCATTGTGCCTCCGATTAAAATCCGCAGGATATATGTCAGATTTCATGCTCTGCATGCTAGTGACCATATTTTCAATGAAATATTTTCTCTATTATTCCGTTTCCCATAAGTAGGCTTAGCCTAAACGTATTAAACTAATTAAAGTAAATATAAATAATTGGGCGTTTCGAGAATTATGTTCATGCGCAACTTAGTTGATTGCTGGTAAAATAATAACAATAATAATACATTGTTATATTAAGGTGTTGAAGTTATAAAGGAAACAGGAAGGGTAAAAAATAAATAAAGTTAGTTCGAAATAGTTCATGAACAGTTGTTGGAGACGATGGCATTACCGCAGCAATGTGTGACAGCTGCCTGTGGGAGCCCAAACTCAGAGGTCAAGTTAGCAGCTCGTGCATTTCTACTGTCTCAAAAAAATAAAAATAAATAAATCTATATTTGATTTCTGAATTATAGCCTATGACTCAAAAATTATATGATAAAATGTATATGTTATACTAGTTATAGGCTAATGCAATTAATATCTTAAGATAAAGGATGTACAGTTCTCTAGTGAATTAACTTTAATGACACTCTTTTCCGTTTACTCAGACAAAAAATAAAAAGAAAAAAATAAATGTCGTGCACGTTTAGAGCCCTGGACAACATAAATGTCAAAGTGCAAACCACAGGCGACACTCTGAAAAAGAACCAGATAATCACCGTCGGTTTTCGGCCTAAACTGACAAATTGGCTTCCCATTCCTATTTTTCCTCCTTTCCGCTTTTAAGTGGGATCACCAGTTAATGTGTCGAGGGCTTACACAGAATAAAAGGACTGCAAAGCATGCTGTAAATCTGTAACATTTTTAACCACAGTACTGCCACCTTGCGGTCCTACGCTGTATTACATAGTCTATAGACTTTAGAGCTAAATAGCGCTTGAACTCCGCATTCCGCACCAACAAAACAAACAGACAAAAATAAAGAAAAGAAGAAATTCTTACTGTGGACATAAAACCTATAAATAATTAATTAAATAAAAAATTCACATTGTGCTGCAAAAAGTTGGAGGACCTTTGTTTCTTAATAACCAATAGAATTGCGCTCTTAATTAACTGAGGCCGGAAACTATTATATTAACTCCCTATTTCTCGAACTATCGCATGCGAATAGGGCGAACGAAGCGTAGCCTATCGTTACAAAAGAAAAAGAGCTGCATTCAGCTAAATTGCTGTTTGTAGCCCTAAATTTTAAAGGATACTATCCAGAAAACACCACCAACCAAAACATACATTTATTAAAATAAATAGGCCTAACGTTCTGAATTTAAATGGAAAAAAAAGAAAACTTTCTACATGTACTGCTTCGAAAGTAAATGTTCAAATTAAATGATAATAATTCAAGTATATATAAATATAGCATTTATTGGCACTGCACTCGCGATGTGGACCATAAGGGGTGCAGTCTTGAAACTTCTTTACAGGCTTTTATTGTTTTTAAAGCTCATTGTACGGTCGGAAATAAAGTAGACTATAATAGCTTTGCATTGATGGGAAAAAAATGCTGTCATTAAATATGAAAGATCAGTTTACTTGTAATGGACTTTGGAGTGTTCCGAGGCTCTCCATAATGAACATACGTTTTCTACGACGTGCTACATGATTAACCATTTTGAACCAAGGTTCTCATATTAGAGACCAGTGCCATGCCCTTAACTTGGTGGTGGCTGACATCTAGTGGATTTTATGTGAAATGCTCCAAATCTCGGTTTTTCAGAAATTATTAGAAACTTATTCCAATAGCCAGTCGATGTCGCCCCCTCACCAGCAAAATGAGTGCACACAATTTGCAATGGAAGATTAAATATAGCTAATCTTCAAATATTTCAAGACTACTATTTATTAGCGTAAATATCAGTCTTCAAAAGTAAAAAAAAAAAAAAAGCTATAGGCTAAAGTCGGTTTGGATATATATATATATATATATATATATATATATATATATATAATTCATACTGGTTGAATTTTAACCAATTCATATCAGAATCATTTTAACCAATGTTAAATAACCTAAATCAAAACAAATTATTTAAATTGTATAGCCTACAGACTATTAAACAAAGATTTGAGTACAAGTTGATAAGTGTTAAATCTCGATTATCGTGTCAAATTATATGGATGTAATTATTATTATTATTATTAGGATACTTATTAAATTGGATATTGAAAACATAAACCTAATATGTTTTTAGGTTACCCTAGTTAAAAGAAGAACAAGCGAAAAATGATTACACAAAAACACATTTATTTGCATATAATATATTTACATTGTTCTGTAGACAACATATCAATACCAGAACTATATTCTTCATTTTAATTAACAAAAAAAAAAAAATGCTTTGCACACATACAGCCTACCAAAAACTAGTTAATTCAGTCACACGTTATCTACAAAACGTTTTTTACATAAATCAACAGGAATATGAACTCAATCTCGGGGCCACTGCATTCAGTGGAAGATTATCATACAGTGCAGAAGTTTTCACATGTATCGCTCCAGTCCTGAGGCAAAATTGGCTTGTCTCATATATGAATTATTGTAGGAGTTCATTGCTGGTCCGGAGAGAGCTAAAAGAGATTCTGTATGATCTGCACACGAGCCCGAACGCACAGGGGGCAGAGAAATCCTGTTCCCCGAACAGTACACCTGTGAACCTCCCGGAGAGAAGCTGGACTGCGTGACCCCGGACAGGTGAGTAGGCGAAGCCGAGGAGGGATACGTGTAACTGGTTGTCATGTTTGAAGCAAGAGATCCCGTGTTCCTGCTCAGCATGTTGCTCGTTGGATTGATCTGTTGCGTCTGAAAGCAGGTCGGGTCAGAGTTTGACACGGAACAGCTGGAGGTCATGGCACCCAAGTCTCCCATGCCGAGAGACTGTGCGTTGAGATCTCCTCCGCTTTGCATCATTGTCTGCTGACTAATAATATTATCGATGCTGAACATCCTGGGCTGGCCTTGCGTGACCCCGGCCGATGCCTGATAGTGATGCAGCATCGCCGGGTGCGGGGAACCAGCCAACTGAGACCCGTAGCCAGACGTCACACCCGGGTATAAGGTGTTGGGGTACGCCTGTCTACCCATTGGTGTTGGCGTGAAAGCGCTCGAGCTTTGCATGTATCCAGGATATGTGCTTACATCAGTCCGCTTGAAGCGCTTCCTCCGTCTCAAGAAACTCCCGTTGTCGAACATGTCCTCGGCGGCGGGGTCAAGCGTCCAGTAGTTTCCTTTGCCGGGCCTACCGGGCTCTCGCGGGATCTTCACAAAACAGTCATTGAGGGTGAGGTTGTGCCGTATGGAATTTTGCCACTTCTTTGAATTCTCGCGGTAAAAAGGAAAGCGTTCCATGATGAACTTATAGATGCCGCCGAGGGTGAGTTTTCTCTCAGGTGAATTGGCGATGGCCATTGCGATCAGTGCGATGTAACTGTAGGGAGGTTTACCTCGCTGCACTGGCCTTTTCCTCCGCCGGCTGCCAGTGGCGGGCAGATGTTCTTCGGTTTGACCCAGTGAAAGCACTTCCTCCCTCTCGGTATTTGGACTGCTGACCCGTGGCTCGGCTTTGATGAGAACACCGTCCTTGGTTCGAGCCTGGTGGTTGAGCGCTGGTGAAGGAAGAGGTATCGGGGAGTCCAGGCTCACGTTGGGAGACAGCACCACTGGACTGGCCGCCTCGGCTGGCGAGTGCTGGGACTCTGCCGTCATGTTGCACATGCCAGTGAAATATGAAAAATTAGCAAGATTCATAAAAGTTGTTTTTTTTTTATAAACTTTTATGGCTATTAGAGTTTTTAAATTATAAATTCTCTCAATTTGCCAACAAACAGGCTGTAAAAATATTTGCTATCCTATCAAAATAAGCGTGCGCTCAGCTGTAGATTAGAGGTGTTTGTCTAACCAGGTGAGTGAGTCGGGGGGAGTTTTATAGAGCGGGCAGAGTGACGACACCGGCCGGCTCGTGACGATCGATTGGGTGACAGTTCTCCCCTCACTAGCAAAGAATGCAAGGTCAGAAGATCACCGTTAAATTCATTTTGGATGGGTGAATTTGTATATCGTTAGAACTTGTAATTTAAAGACATCTCGCCTGATTAACCTGATATAACAAACTTTTCACAAAAAGTTATAAAAAAAAGTTACAAATGGGAAAAAGGTAAATAAATTGAAACATTAAACTTCTATATTCTTACCTTAATGAATAATATGAGCTAAATAAACAATTTCCTCTTCTGTCCTTCAAGGGAAAACACAAAGGAAGTCGTACCTGCTTATGACCTTATATGGAATATACATTGTCCGATATCAGATAAGACAAAGTGGCTCACATAATAGCTTCCACTGACTTGGGGGTTTTAACAGTGACTGGATTAGGAAGGAAAGGTTGGAGGGGTCGAGGATAAATACTTGTCGGCAAAATATTTTAAATTCAACAGTTTCACGGAGGAAGGCTTTTTGCAAATGAACAGTGATCTGAAACTTCATGAATCCTCAATTTGTTGACTGATTTTTACAACTTTCTATCCATTCAATTACATTTTTGTGAGTTTTTGAGTTGGGTCTTTCTTAAGTTCAAAGTGGTTCAAAAAGTACAACAAACTTTTAGCCACATCAAGGCAGCAATCAAACTTAAGATTTTCATTTTAGCAGGTTGACATGTATTACAGAGCAAGAAAGGACAAATACAAGCACAGGCTGCTCGCTGAAAGATCTATCTTTGATCTCTCGCTCTTGCTCGCTCTCGTAGTTTGCCCATGGGTTCACTGTGTATCCAGGACAGAAACAACACACAGAAAGGCTGTAAGAGACTTCCCAAACTACCTCTCAATCCACCAATTGAAAAATAATAACACGCTTTTAAAAACAGCAATTAAGCTGTGAAAACTTTACAGAATGGTAAGAAAATACTGCTGGTTTATTTCTATTCTCCAGAATGAGACTGTAGACGGTCGGACAGGCGCTAATACAGCATCATAGCACTCAACATCAACTTCTCAGGATTTCACTGATCGAATTACAGAAAGACAATAACAGCGTGCACATAGAATTCTCTTTAGCTGTAAATGAATAGTTAAACCTATCAGGGAATTACCAGGGCTTTGCTTTTCAACACAAGGGATCTACAGGAAGGTCAGGAGGTAGAAAGTTACCCTAGACCTGACTACCACTATGACTTCAGCTCAATGCAAGTTTTCTAAATAGACAGCCGATATATAATTTAAACCAGAGCATGCATGTTTGGGGTGAGCAAAAAAGGGATGTAAGTGAGAGTGAGAAACTGGACAAATAGTGTTCAGCTCTGACTGATAGGAAAGAAATGGTAGCATGAATAAGACCAGAGTCATAAGCCAAAACAGCATTCACCCCTGCCCAAGCACAAAGCATGTGGCGGCCCCCTGTGCCCAGACGCGCTAAGCCTAGCTAGCCGAACAGAGCGGCTGGCTAACAGCTTCAGACAGGCGTGGGATCAGCGTTGTATCCAAGCAGGATCTGCCCCTAGTGCTGCCAGGTCAGGCAGACAAACAAGGGCTACAGCCAGGAAACAGCCCCTCCTCCCCCGCACCCTCATCCACCAGCCCCAGGGCCTACCATCTCACGGTAATCCCCGTATATTACTCTCTTATCACGCACACACCAGAGATACAGTCTGACAACTCTTCAAAAACTGCTGGAGTAAATTGGACCTGGTGCATTATCTCATGACAAGTCTACAACATGTTAATATCCAGTAAAAAATGTGAGATTTTACTTCCCCGGGGGATTGTTGGCGGTTGTAATGAATTAAATGGGCGGTTAAGATTTAATGGCTCAATAGCTATTAAAGTAAAATACACTTGTGTCCATTTCCTCTGGATTTTATGCAACCTCAAGCAAAAGCATATAGGAAAAACGTTTTAGACACTTAAGAGGATATAAGTTCACTAGAAGAGAATGACATCCTCATGTCCTTCCAAATCTTTTTATTTTGTCTAACTTTACTTTTGTAAGGTTATGGTTGAATAAATGTGGAATGACATTCATACATTTCTACACTGTAAAAAAAAAAAAAAACTAATCTAAGAAATGTATGGTTTAAAGGCAGTCGTGTTTGCCAAAACTTTACCATAAAAATCTGATATATATATTTATTTCAATATATTTAGAGTTTTACAGATTGAAATGGTACAAAAAATATTGTTATACACCAAATTACTAAAATATGTTTGTTTTTATACCTTTATATAGGCTATATATACTGACAGCCACCCCCAAAAAACATTCATTTAACAACAAAGATATGATATAACCCTAATGTACATAACTGATATGAAAACACTAAGAAAAAAAGTTATTTCAATGAAAAAAAACATCAAATGCAAGCTGTCTCTCAGAGAATTCTAGATATGTCTTTTTTATGGATTTTAAAGATGACTTGTACAGATTTTGGAAGTGAAAAAGAACATTTAACAGTATTTTACTGTAAAATTAGATGAAAGGTCCTATAACGGTGTTTTCACTGTATAGATAAGGGAAAGTGTTGATAAAAATTGTACTTTTAATTGTAAGTGTTCCAAACATTTTGATCCCACTGTATATTCATAAGTCAAACAACTCATCAAATTCTTACCCAAAATCTATGCCAATTGAACTTTTCTATGTTGCAAGAGATATTTGAAATTTAGCTTTGCGTTCCCCTCAGCTATATCTGTCAGTGTCGAGAGATAGAGATGTGAAGAAAGAGAAGAGAGAGAGAGAGAGAACTGCTGAGTAAACACTTGGAACTCATTCATTTGCACACTGGCTCCAGGCAGGGCTGGGGTTTGAGAGGGGGTGCATGAGAAAAAGAGAGAGAGAATGAAAGGACGAGAGGGAACGAAAAAGAGAAAAGCGAGCGGGAGAAAGAGATGCCCCTTTTCTTACCCAAGCTCATCAAGTACGGGCCAGGGCTCCTGAAAACGGCAGGATTAGTGGAGGGCCGGGGCTCGGTCAGGTCGGCTCAGCCCACATCACTCCTGTACTGCACGCTACGCTGCTTCGCTAAAGCGCTCCAACATGGTTCTCACAGACACACACACAATGCATTTACACACTTACTATCACGCTCACACAAGCATGCAACACACTGACATTCTCAGCTAAGAGTGGTACAAACATTTGCTGTAACTCTTGACACATCAATGTCCACAACACATGCACACGCTGGCTTCATTATATTAGTAAAAAAAATTATATATATATATATATATATATATATATATGGAAGTCATATTTACAATGACCTGTTGATTATTAGGACATTTTCAAAATGTCAGTCCGCACAAATGTACCTGTATACAAACACTTTATACACATCTGAATGTCCCCATTTCTTTTTAACCTGCAGAACTGCATTAAAAAAAATGTTAAGCAATGTACAGTGCAAAAATAAAAATCAGAACATGATTTCCTTTTGTAATCCTCTAGTAGCACTAAATGTGCACCCCTTAAGCAGCATGCATTGGTTGATCTTATCAACAAACCCTTAATGACAGCGCTTTGTGATTTTAAGCCTCGGGGCCTGCAGTCATGCACAAACACAAGAACTCACTCTCACTAGCACAAATATGGTCACAAGGTCAAATCCTCACCAAAAATCAGTTTCCCCTCTTTTTTTCACTGCAATCTGCCAGCGTTGTGTGAGATGGTCACTACAGTGGTAAAAGTAGACTAAAGCTTATAAATCAAACAAAACAAAAAAAAGTCATGTTTTTGAATAAAGTTTTGCCCTATGATGTCATTTACACTGTTACCTATCAGAGATAGGTAAAGACATATATATAGTAAAAATATAGATATAGTTGACCCCCTTTCGCCTTCAGAACTGCCTTACTTCTACGTGGAATTGATTCAACAAGGTGCTGAAAGCATCCTTGATAGGATAGCATCTTGCAGTTGATGGAGATTTGTGAGATGCACATCCAGGGCACGTAACTCCTGTTCCACCACATCCCAAAGATGCTCTATTGGGTTGAGATCTGGTGACTGTGGGGGCCATTTTAGTACTGTGAACTCATCGTCATGTTCAAGAAACCAATTTGAAATGATTCAAGCTTTGTGACATGGTGCATTATCCTGCTGGAAGTAGCCATCAGAGGATGGGTACATGGTGGCCATAAAGGGATGGACGTGGTCAGAAACAATGCTCAGGTAGGCTGTGGCATTTAAAAGATGGCCAATTGGCATGAAGGGGCACTAAAGTGTGCCAAGAAAACATCCCCACACATTACACCACCATCACCAGCCTGCACAGTGGTAACAAGGCATGATGGATCCATGTTCTCATTCTGTTTACACCAAATTCTGACTCTACCATCTGAATGTCTCAACAGAAATCAAGACTCATCAGACCAGGCAACATTTTTCCAGTCTTCAACTGTCCAACGTTGGTGAACTCTTGCAAATTGTAGCCTCTTTTTTCTATTTGTAGTGGAGATGAGTGGTACCCGGTGGGGTCTTCTGCTGTTGGAGCCCATTCGCCACAAGATTATGCGTGTTGTGGCTTCACAAATGCTTTGCTGCATACCTCAGTTGTAACGAGTGGTTATTTCAGTCAAAGTTGCTCTTCTATCTTGAATCAGTCGGCCCATTCTCCTCTGACCTCTAGCATCAACAAGGCATTTTCGCCCACAGGACTGCCGCTTACTGGATGTTTTTCCCTTTTCACACCATTCTTTGTAAACCCTAGAAATGGTTGTGCGTGAAAATCCCAGTAACTTTACAGATTGTGAAAT